TCGCCGCCGCCCGCGCGGGGGCGCTGTGCGCGCGCTCTGCAGCCCCGCGGCCCCGCGCCTGGAAGGCGAGTGGCACAGAGTCACGCCACTGTCCAGCCTCCGTCCACTTCCCTGCGCTGCGGAGCGCAGCTCCCTCCACGGATGCGACCAGCGCTGCTACCCCAGTTAACAGTGGCAGCGAAGTTCTCGGGGAGCTGCCCGATCAGAGTCGAGGCACAAGTGTGTAAACTGAAACCCAGGGTGGGACAGCCCAGGCCGGGCGGGGGTGATGAAAAGTGAACCGAACGGCCTGAGAAGGGAAGAGTATCAACAAATCCGTTCTGTTAGTTTTACATACTGTAACCTTGTGGCTTAAAAGAAAAAACACAGAAAAGTTTTATTTGCTGATAAAATGGAAAACTTTAGTCGAAAACGCATGTTCTTTCACATAGCCTCGGAATGCGTGCGTGAAGACAGCCCTCCGTTTCCCCTTCTCTGCGCAAAGCCCCTATAGTCCCCCGGTTAACTGAGAAGTTCTCATCCCAGCAGTGTCCGGTGGGCTCGTTCCAAAAAGTCCTTAAGTCCCGGTGTTGTGAACCAAGCCACATCGTTCTGATTATCTTCGTTGTATTCTCAGGATCTTCACGTGCCTGTGGGTCCTCTTTAAGTTACTCTGCCCTGAGATTTGTTTATTAAAGAAGTTAATAACTGACATTCATTCGCTATTATGCTTTTTTAAGGGACGATGAGTGCTTTGGTAAAGGGGAAACTTTTTTGCCATGCCAATTAATTAATCCCTCATATCTGATATTTTGTGGATCTGGATTTTTCAGATGTCTTCGTTGGAGCAGGGAGCAACCGTTTTTAGGCAGTTTTTTAACTATCGAAAGTGATATTCAGAATGCTTGGTTTCTGAAACAGTGTGTCAGCTGGATCCAGTGTTACTCTCTTGGATTAATTTTAAATTATTAGCCTTTAGATGAAACCAAATTCAATGTCTTTTAAAGGTAATCAAATAACTTGTTGACTGATCTGTTAAAAATTATTAGAAAAATACATGAAAAAGGAAGTTCGGTATTTGAAGTATGGGGTTGCTTGTCTGTCTGCTCCTGTACTCGGCAGGCCTGGGTTTGGGAACTACCTGCCTTCAGCTGCTACTATTTTGTCAGAGAAAACACTTGTTAGATGAATAAATGAGTGACCTCGTGAATGACTGAAGGAACATTACTGACTGATGCTTCATAAAGCTGTATTCTGCAGTGCACTTGAAAGTCATTTATTTTTAGCCCTCCTCTCCCATGATTTTGAATTAGTAGAGGGCAGAGAATCTTCTCTACTCAAGTTCATGTGGTCCCACAGAGTGTAACCCAGAGCCTGGCTATGGAAGCTTATTGAATTGAATTGAAAGAG